CCAGCCTGCCCAGATTCACAGCCCAGCTCTGCCACTTCCTAGCTCTCAGGTGAATCTCGGGCGAATCACTTAACCTCTCTGTTTCCTCATCGGTAGAAGGGACAATCTCAATGCCTGCCACACAGCGCTGTTTTAAGGTGTAACCAAGGTAAGGCATGTCAACTGCGGCAGCTGATGTACAGCAAGTGCCAGACAAACTCACAAGTCAGTGTTCTGAGTCCTTTGTCACTGGGTCATGAGGACATGGCAGTGGGCAAGAACACACTTGTTTGAGATGAACAAGAGCAGACACAGCGACCTTAGCTCACCTATGTGTTTGTACAGCAGATGGCTGGGGAGAGACAGCAGACTCCAGCTGAAGCCCACGGAGCCTTCGGATCCCACGGCCCATTCAGCCCATTCGCGAGGATCAGCAAGCAGCGGGGGAAGCGCTTTTAGCTCCCCGCCAGCCAGACACTCCCCACTCCCACCCCTGTGTGTGTGTGTTGTGGGACGGTGGAAGTCTGAGCAGAAAAACCACAAAGCCTGCTGAAGGAAGGAAGTGTTCTCTGATCACACTAGAGTGGGCCAGACACCCAAAGGCCAAGAGCATCTGTTAGGAATCTACTGACGGGATACTCTCTTTCTTCCTTGGTCACCTTCTCCTACTTGGTGGAGAGAACAATAGCGTCAGAGGGAGAACAGGGTCTGACGGGGGACAGGGGAGTGATTGGTGACCAGCAGGAGGAGAGGAGCCGGGAATTTAGGGAGGCTGGAAGCTGGCCTGCAGAGCATAGGCTCAGAGCCGGCAAAGCAAAAATACTGCTGAATTTCCTGGTTGTGCACCAAACTGGGAGGGGGGGGATGGGGAAGTTAAAAGTCTGCACATATTACACTTGCAAAAGCATTTGCCACAGAGGCAAAAGGATAGACGGTGGCTGAGGGACAGGGCTCCTGAGCCAGAAGTCTGGTTCAAGTTCTGAGCCCACCTCCTCGCCACACCATGGCCCTGTGCACATTTCAAAGTGAGTTGTTGTAGTACTTTATGCTGCTGATATTTTAAGCCAATTAGAAAAGCAATGAATGGATGTCCAGAGGCAGTTCTCAAGGAGAAATTTTAGTTGGGTACAAAATTTTAATAACCCAGCCCATAGTAGACCCTTCACAAATATCCTTTGAATTGAACTAAATGAAAAATATAATTCAATTAAAGAAAGAAGTACCCACATTATCTCTGGCATAACTTTGTTCTTTCTATCTACTTCACAAATGATCATGTGGCTTGTACAGGCACTGTCCTGAGCATTTT